AGGCGGCCCGCCGCCGCCTCTCGACGCCGGAGCCCGGCGCCGGGCGGCACCACCTCGCGGTGCAGACCCAGCCCTACCTCGAGGCCCTGACGGACCCGGTCGGGATGCAGACCCAAGAGACCCAGACGGACCCCCTGCTCGACCGCCCCCCGACGCCGATCGCCGCGCCGCGCAAGACCGGCCGAAACGTCGCGACGCAGATCTACGAGGGCGACCTCTTCCACTTCGACGCCGCCATCGAGCCCATCCTCGAGGTCATGGTCGGCAAGACGCTGGAGCAGGCGATGCTGGAGACGATGCAGGAGGAGGAGTTAGAGCTACTGCGCCAGCAGCAGCTGGAGTTCGAGCAGCGCCGAAAGGAGGAGCTTCTGGAGGTGACTAAGCTCGAGGCCGCCGAAAAGCGGCTCTATGAGGAAAAGGAGCGGCGTAAGCAGCAGGAGATCGATCGACTGCAGCGTGAGAAGGAGACTCGCGAGAAACTCCAAGCTCGGCTCTTCTCCAAGGCGTATATGGCAAATATGGAGAATCGCATCATTGCTCGCTTGCAAGATGAAGGCTGGTTTGCCGATCGCGTTCTAAATGAAGTAGAACTCAATTTCATGCCTTGGCTCATGGATGAAGTGGATAAGGAGTTGCTAAAGAAGAAGAAGGCTCGCAATTTAGTGGACGAACTGATTCACCATGTAGTGCATTTGAACATGAATCAATTGGTGCATAGCTACGAATCTCAACCACCACAGGAACCACAGTAATCGATTTCAAGGCTTTGACACTTCCCAACGCAGTTCCTTCCATGTTTTCCGTTTTTTTTTGTCCTTCTTCTTCCACTTTATCAGTAACCTTGACATGATCCGATTTCCTTTTTATCACTCTTAGAAAAAAAAAGTGGTCGATATCTTTTTCTGACTTCACATTGTTATTACACATTATGGTTCCACTTTATACAGGCTTGTTTCTTTCATTTTCTTTTGTGTGTCACAGGAATACAGATTTCATACTCTTCTGATTTTTTTAATCCACTTCTAATAGCGGTACATAGATTTTTGAAGGGAATGGAACGCATTATTTCGTGATGATTTTATAAAATGAAAAGAAAATAAAACGCAAGATTCTGTAAAGAAGAGAAAATTTGTATCGAACAAAAGTTTAGGGAGCGGGTGTACAAAGTGGCGTGTAATCCTTCCTTTATTTTTTTTACTATGGACAGAAAAATAAACTGATGTACTCATTACAAATAGAATTTATGATTCTTAACCATTTTTGTACCGTTGCCGCTTACACATTTTTTTTTTTTGGTAGCAATAGAGTTCTGAGAAGGCGTGCTTTGATGTTTATACTCAGACTTTTTAATATTTTAAATACACAAGTGTGAATCAAAAAGCCGAGCTATTCTTTCTTTGAATTAATGAGAAAAATTGCTGTTGAGTTTTTTTTTATATCCCTTTTCTTTCTTGAGTACTTTTTTTAATCATAGTCACGGTATCTACTAGTATTGCCTCATATATATACTTCGACAATGCCGGAACCAAAAAGCCTTTCTGATGTACTGGATGCAGTTGACTTGGAGGCCCTTCGCTCCCGGTATGAACCCATTGAGGTTATAGGTGAGGGAACTTATGGTATTGTATTTAAGGCACTCGACATATCAACAGGAGCCGCTTATGCAATAAAAAAAATTCGTCTAGATGGGCTTCGTGAAGGAGTGCCCCCGACCGCAATACGTGAAATTACCTTACTACACGATCTCAAAAAACACCCTAACGTGGTGCAGCTGCTCAACGTACTCTGTGAGAAGCACCGTGTGTATTTAGTTTTCGAACTACTTAAGGAGGACTTGCGCGTCTTCATTCGCCGCCACCGCCCCTTGCCGTCCGAAAAGCCGGCTAATGGTTCAGTACTGCCCTTGCGCCTTGTGAAGGACTTCACACGGCAGATGCTGCATGCCCTATGGAGCTGTCATAACAGCCGTATTATCCATCGCGACTTGAAACCTGGAAACGTGTTGGTGGCAGAACGAAAGAATCCCACCACTGAAAAACCCGAGTATTTCGTTAAGCTTGCGGATTTCGGACTATCCCGAACGTTTGAAATGTCTGTTGAAACGTACACGCACGAGGTAATGACGTTATGGTATCGCGCGCCCGAAATTATTCTTAATCAGCGTCATTACAGCTCCTCCGCTGATGTTTGGTCACTTGGTTGCATTGTGGCTGAGATGATCCTTGGTAATTCTCTTTTTTGTGGAGAAAACGCAAAAGACCAGTTAAACAAAATATTTTATGTTGTTGGTACCCCCACTGAGGAAACGTGGCCGGGCGTCACCAAACTACCCGGGTATAATACAAAGTACTTCAAGATCTACCGTGTGGCGCCGCTAACTACTCGTTTGCCTGGGTATGATCCTAAAGCAGTGGAGTTTATTGCCTTTTTACTGCACACAAATCCTAAAAGTCGTCCAACGATTTCGGAAATATTTGATCACCCTTTTTTGGCAAGCGATGATTAAAGGATTAAATGAAACAACAGAAAAAGGCGAGCGGGATTGGATACAAATCATTAATTCAATCATGAAATGTCCGCGCCCTTTGTCATGTTTATATTATACAATTTTTTTTGTTTGAAATTATTAAGTAAGTCATTGAATCCTGGCACTTACATATATTATCATATCATTACTCAAAAAAAAAAAGGAAAGCTTAATAACAATTTATATTTATTGTTGGGTTGCTGCAACACTTCTTAGTGCAGCCCGCATCATCTAATTAAGAATATTGATTGTTTAATTTTCTAGTTTATGTCTAACTCTGACGAATGGAGTAATTGCTAGAGGAGGCTTAGACTATGTAACTGAAAAGAAAAGGCATAACAACGTATGACAGATAACATCTTTGATGCCAATTCGACAAATTAGATTTTTGCAGCTATGCCCACTCAGTCAACTTCCTCGAATTTATACTTAGATTTTTTTTATTTGCGAGAATTTTAATATACTGCGGAAAATATTTACATTTCAGTTGGAAAAAAGAAGCCAAAACATTCGTGAGGAATGAAAAACAACTCAAGGAAAGGGACATGTAGAAAAATATGAAGTATAATTTTTTCCCTGGCAGATTGATTATTTTTCGTATATATATTGACCAATCAAAGTAAAAGATATTACCACAATTATAGTGCTTTCGCTGAATTGTGTTAGACTGACGTTGTTGTTTGTGTTATATTCTCAGTAACAATACTTGATTGATTTCGTCTTTTACTTTGTTTCCCTATCCATAAGTGCACACAACACACACATAAAATGTCTGAAGAACAAGATATAGATAAACTAGAGACATCGAGAGATCAAAAGACATCTTCACTGAAGTCACAGCCGATTATTTTGGAAGATAATCATGATAGTTTGTGCGGTATCTGTTTTACAGCGATTCATCCCACTGAGAATCCGCGCGGCCGAATCAATTCATGCGATCATAAGTTTTGTTCGTATTGTATAAAAGAATGGGCTAAGATGACAAATGTTTGCCCGGCCTGCAAGGCACGGTTTACGCGCATTTTCACTGTCAACTCCACAGGTAACGAGGAGGTCACCAAAGTACGAAAAAGAAACTATAAGGCCTGGCAAGAAGGCGACGAAGACGAGGAGGATGACGAGGAAGACGATGCATGTTTAGACCAGCAATTCGCCAGGGCGAACAGCGATCTCACCCATTTATTGTCAAGCTCTGATGGCGGCGGGGACAATAAAGCGGCGAGGCCAAACGCGTCTTCTGGGCCGCCAACCGAGAACACGACAAATATGGTTCGCTGTGATGTCTGCCACCAGTACGAAAACGCCATTCGGATCATCTTCTGCGATAGCCGTCAGTGCGTGTTCGCGGCGCACCTGGACTGTATCGGCTTACGTGAGCACCCGCTGACCTTTTTTTGCGCCCAGTGCGCGGTGCGTCGGCGGTCCGACGGGGATGAAAGCCCCGCCCCGGCCTCCACGGCGCCCGCGGTCAGCGCGGCCTCCGCTTCTGCCGTCATTTCCGTCGCCTCGCCACCCCTTCGCGAGTGCGCGCCCTCGAACCGGGCTTCGG